CGACGGCCAATACCAATTACAGCGAGGTAAAATACCATAAAAATAGTAGGTTATCCTTCTGTGAAAAAAATCGTTTGTTGCAATGATGCTTCATCTTTTGACTGACATTTTTGTCCAGGAGAGCATTGTTGTACATCTGCCAATTTTCCATTTTGTAAACTTACGAAAAATCAAACAAAGTGATGCAATGTTTGCATAAGTGGCTACGGAGTGACTACGCAAATACCTATGCGTTAGATGTTAGGAAAAGGACGGAATAAAAGTCTCTTCTGTTTAAACAAAGTGAGTAAAACATGTTCCGACTAAAAATCATAGTTCAACAGTTAGGCCTGTGGTCTGCAAATCGCAGATGTCCCGACGAAAAATAATTAGACGCGCCCGAGGTGGAAAAAATAGTCGTTTGTTAGTTTTAGATGGATATGTATATTATTTTAAGCCGATACACACTGAGGTACACTTAAATATGATTGAAAATGTTGGCAGCATAGAAGAAAATAAAGAAGTTTAAGAATTCGAGTATCAGACTGGCGTTAAAGCAGTGGAATGCCAATCGTTTGTCAGTTGTGGTCAGCAAGTTTGCAAATCCCGAAATACAGCGATACAAAAAATCATAGAAATACTCTCGAGAGACAAGCACTATGGAGGTGGTCGCATTTAAAGAGCAAATTTTGCAGCTTTCCACCTTTTCGCGAATCGCCGTTTTTAAAGTTGCCGAAAAGGCGCGAACTAAGTTAGAATTTGTATTGGAACGGCGGCCAGACAAAAAGAGATCTCTAAACAAGCATACCCATGAACGTTTCGTGCATGTTAGTTTTTTTCATTATTTTGATTAAACTACCTGTTGTAGATTATTCACCTCGATTTGACTTGTACCAAATTTTTCACAAACCTAATTTACCATTAAATTGTTTGCATTTTATTGTTTTTAATTAAATCCTCTATTAATCAACACGGAGTTCTTGTGCTTCTCTAGGTGTTTGTGCAAATTTATTTAGCGGCCGTCTTACCTATGCCGAAGCAAGGTTATTGATGGCACACTGTTGTTTCCATACTGATCTGGCAGCCTGCGGAGTGGGAATAAATCAATCATGTAAGACACCACACAGAAAATATGAGGCACCAGACGCTCTTTTTCCCGATTATTGATCACGGACTTTGTTATACATGACTCGAAACAAAAAAATTATATGTTGAATTCATGATACCAGTTTTCATGTAAAGGTCTGAACAATTGGAAATAAACTCAGTCTTAATAAGCCGTCTTTTTTGGTCAGTAGCAAGAATCAT